GTGCTTATATAGACATAGCTGTGTGTATCTACGAGTGGTGTTTTGTCAATTGCCCGGCGCTGTGAAAGCGGACACATGCTCGACTTGAGTTCTTGGTCTAGTCAAGTCCAGCTGGCTACCATGGAAGCGCCTTGGGGACCGAACCCACAATAGAGCCCATCGGTACGCACTTGGCCCTGTCAACTTCAGGCAACTGAGGCAGCGAGATGAAAGGCAGATGCTAACGGTCAGATAAACACGGCGACTGCGTCGTAATTCGTGTAATTATATTCTCAATTACCGAAACCCGACAGCCCAGCAACTTGGCGATGCTGTCGCTGCGATTAGAACAAACGAAAGCGTTTCCTGATTTTCGTTTTTATTTGTGCAGTGATGAAAAATTACTGAAGATTTTTCAGGAGATTTTATGACATGTTTTTAAGGTGACATAGAAAATAATTTTTTACTTAAAGGAATGTTAATCATAAAATTTACATTTTCTTAAGGAAGATAAAATGATGTTTTCGAAAAATTATAAAAATATCCCAAAGTTTGTCCCTATTTTATTGGTTACAATTTAATATTCTATTATACATTTTTATGAATTTAATTTTTTTAATTTTATTCTTTGGTTTTTAAAAACAATTATATATATTTCAGTGTAACGTCTAACTTCTGTTGGTTATTTTTTCACAGCCTGTTGATGTTTTGACAGCGTTCTGCTTTAGAACTTGGGCAGGGAAGATCACCAGGATGGTCAGACTAGCCCATTCCAGTGGAGAAGTCAAAAGCAGGCCAGCACAGGCAAATAAAGCAATGAAAGGCAGATAGCTCCTAAATGCTGCTCATTCGTGCTGCCGAACAAACAAGCCACAGGGGGCGTGGCGAGGGGGCAAAAGACATATGCAAATGGCCAGAATCATGCTCATCCTCATCCTCGTCCTCGTCCTGGGCCAACTTAAGTGGTTTCAACTCGGCAGCGATGTGATGCCTACGACGATATGATATGATTATGTTAAATGCCCGTTTTGTTTGCTCACTCACTCGCACAGGACGACGGCAGGGAGTTGGTAGGATGGTTGGCTTGTTGGTTGGTTGGTTCGTTGGTCATTGGGCAGCTGCTACCCGTCGCCGTAGTTGTAGTTGTCGTCGTCATGCTCCCTTAACTGATTCCCCGGGTTCCCTGGACAAAAAGGAGCAGCCTCCGCTGGCTTTCGGCTGCATTCAGTTCGCTCAGTTTCAAGTTGACGATTTCATAATTCAATTTACAAGATAAGGGCCCACAACCCGGCGACTGAATAACCAGAACCAGATTCCGAATACGAATCGCAATCGGAATCAGCCAACCAACAAGCGGCCACCGTTTTTGGGGCGTGTTGTCAAAAGAAGACAGCGAGCAAAAAGTAAACAAAACATTTAGGGGGAAAAAAATCACATTGAAAAACCTTTTAATTAATTATGCATCAGCGATTGTGTTTAAATAAAGCGAAGCTCAGTCAAATCGGATTCAGGGTTTTTGTTTGCCTGTTGGTCGGGGAAATCGCACGGCAGATCGCCAGCTGCCAGTGACAAACGCGCATTACGCATACGCCAGGATGAACCCATGTAGATGCGGCCGATTAGATAGCCCAGATAGCTCTCCTCTCTGCTCTCTAACTTATTAACTCAACTATTGTCTGCCTCGTTTGGGATTATCGCTGGATTCATAATCTTAATTGTACAGCGGTCATATTAAGAAATCATATCAGTAAGAAAATCCTTAAAGCCTTTAATTATAATTATATTATTATAATTTGTATACAAATTAAAAACTTTACAAAAATTATATTTATTGTTCTTGTCAAAAGACTTATTTTCTACTAGGCAGTTTTTAGTTAAAACAAACAAAATAAGTATTACTGAGTAAAAAATAAGCAACACAAACTTATATCGATTCGTCGATCTCGAATATGTATTTCAAATCGATCCATCTAAAAATGCCTAGAAAAATATTATATTTACCATAAGTCCATAGGTTGACTTCTCACATAAAAGTATTAATATTTTGACGCATAACAATAATATATTTAAATTTTAATTTTTAAAACCCCTAAAAATGTACAATTTTTTCAATGTTTTATTTTTAAATATTTAAAAGGGTTGGCAGACCTATTTTTCCGTTTTATTTGAAAATTTCTATTGTTCGATAAAAAAGATTTAATCTAAGATCTAGCCGAGAGATCTGTAGCATTTCTTCGAGAATACCCTTTGGCATCGGCTGAACTCCTTGTCGAAACTTCGGCATTTGTTCACTGAGTGGAAGAACGAGTCTTCAATCAGAGCATTTGTCAATGGGTCGTCAGCCATGTCAGCAGCATGACTTCTGACACGATCGGAGGAAAAGGGAGGGCAGCCCATATGCCCACATTCGATTTGACGGATGCTCAGGGGTTGGGGCGCAAGTTAGAAGCCATCATAATTTAAACATGAGTGTTGGCTGCCACTGCGCACTGGGCTAACAATGATGCGGTTGTGGTTGGGTTTTATGGTTTTATGGTGGGTTCTGCGACGCTGAAGAGGATTCAGGCTGAGGAGCTGTGGTCTGGAGGGTCGGGTCGTCCATTTGGCGGCCTTATCAGCGACAGCGATGGCAGATTAATCGGCCCCGATAAGAACGCGAGCCCGAGAACCCGAACCCTGGGATGTGGACACGATGACGGGCACGATGACGAGTGCGGATGATCGACCAGAAGAATGGAGTGCTGGCGATGATGATGACGGTAGCGTAGCTCTCCAGCACCACTCTTCCCTTCGGATCGAAGTGCCTTTGCCTACGTATGCACGTACGTTCTTTGTTGTACGATTTTTGTTTTATATTCTCATTTTTCGGGGCTATCCCCGACTCCTTCGTGGCATTTTCGGTTGGACTTTGGTGAAAAGGTGTGCCTGGGTTATGCGAAATATGCGTGGCGTTGTCGATCGGATCGGTTCGAGGGATCGGGATCTGCACTGCCATGGCCCAAAGTGGTTTAGATTAAAGGGTTTAGTTCGCTGTCTTGTGTTATTTTATTTTGGGGCGTTATTTGCTCAGCGAGACGTGCGACTGCTTTTGACTCCGGCTTCGGGCCTTATTCTCTGGCTTTTCGACTGCAGGAAGATCGATCTGGCCGATCGGTCGGTGCACCTCATTGACCTCTCTCATTCTTTCAGTCCCTTTGCCCCATCAACTGGGTATTTCTGTTGTTGTGCCCGTTGAACATCTGTCGATCTTGTTTGGCGATAATTTGAATTGAGTTTTCTCTCCAAGTTGGCCAGCCTTCACATGTGTAAAAAGTCCAGAGCATTGTCCAAGTTCGGTGGGGAGGAGTCGAGGGGTAATGCCGGAAGGCGTGTTAATAACAGAGCTCATCCTCGTCAAATGAAGGCACACATAAGAAATGACACCGTGTCTAGGCAAAGTGCAAAGCTTTCCCACTGCACTCGGAAAAAATATATTCGGGTCTTTACTTATTTATAATGACTTTTTTTTAGCTATCCCTTATTTTTAGACAATAATAATTTATTTTTAATAACTCCGTATGTTCTAGGTTTCTTAAGTTGATTTATATCTTAAACAGTTGAAAAATAACTTTAAAAAATTCAAAAAATGTTTTTAACACCGTTATTTTAAGACTATTTTTGTAAGGAACTGATTTATTTTCTGGGTGTACCTTTACCAACATTACTTCCCCAGAACGTGTCACCCAAGGTGGGGAATGGAATGGGTTAGGAAAGGAGGAGGCTGGCGGAGGAACATGGTCCCAGGGCCCTCAGCCAATCCGCCGAGCACGTTCAAGTCGTTTTCTCGCAATTAACGCGAAATTCTACGAATTGTTTAATTAGAACTCCAGATTCAGTTCTCAGTTTTCAGGTTCCATCTTCGGGTCTGCGAGCTGTGTGCAACCTCTGCACGTTTGTATCTCGTGGTTCTTGTTGCTGTTCCCTCGCTTGTTCGGGGCTGCATAATCTTTTTTGTAAACATGAAACTCGCGCCATTATATCGAGCCAACGTTTGCCAGCCAACTTGAGTTGGAGAATGGAATGGAATGGTATGGCTAAGGCATGGGTATTGGGCCTCAGAGATCTTGGCTCACAGCCTGGCTGCTTTTTACATGCTCGCCTGCCCTGCGCCGTGTGGCTACGATTTTAAATTTAAAATCTGTGAATTTGAAGCAGTTTATCGAGACTCGACTCGACTCGAATGCAGCCTCCTCGTCCTTTTTCCTTTTGCTTAGGTGTTGTGCCCGATTTGGCCGGCCGATTAAATCATTAAATATTCCGATTGTGTAGCGTTATAATGAAATGTTTTTAACGCTTGTCTGATTTGGAATTATGCAGGGAATTAAAGGAACTCTCCCTCTCGCTGCCTTTTATTTGCTGAGCGAAGAAAATCTTATTTATGTGGAACATTTCGGACGGTTGTCGCCGATAAGCAAAGATGTTCCAGACATTCTGTGTATTTACTGGGTATTGGAAGATGAAACCGAAGACTTTGACTTTCATCAAATATTTATCTCTTAAATTTTGGATAAAGGATCTAATGATGCAACACATTTAAAATAGTGACAAAGAAGGGCGCAATTAAATTTATAAATTAATATATTGATTTTAAAATAATATAAATATCTGTAAAAATTAAAAAAAATATAAAAACTCGTATTATTACTATAAACGTAAACAACTTCTTGAAAAACATATTGCAGTATCAAGTCAAATTCCAACCAGACTCTTATCTCATTTGAATGCCCGCCAATCCATCGATAATCTAATAGCTGCGTACGTGATCGATATATCTCAATTCGTGCAGAACAGCTGATTCGTTCCACCTCTATTCCAATTAGCTCACAGTTTCGGATCGGATAATACTGATTGTAACCCGGATATAAAAGTCGGTTAGGTTTCAAAGGTGCAATGCATTTCCTATACCTCGTTCTGCTTTCGAGTGCCTCCGCTTGGGTTTTTCCCGACCTTGAGAGCAGATGCAATGAATCGTATTGCCACATAATCACGACGAAGACTTTGCCAACTGGCCCCAGATGAAGGTCCTTGAGCTGGGGGGTAACTCCATTACCAGAGTAGCCAACGGATCCTTCAAAGGCTTATCACAGCTCTGGTTTCTGTCTCTGCCGGGCAATGATATTCAAGATTTGCCAGAGGGTGTATTCCGAACCCTACCGGAACTTCTGCATCTTGATCTGAGTGGCAATGAGATCGGGAACCTTCGGGAAAACATCTTTGATGGAAACCCGAAACTAGAAATGCTGCTGCTTAATGGCAATCCCTTGACTTGGATAGCTCCAACTGCTTTTGGACCTCTACGAAATCTACGTCTTTTGGATCTAACCAATTGTGGGCCACTGCCGGTTCTTAAAGTTCCCGGTGCTCAATCCCTGATTCTAGATAATATCGGACTAAAGTATTTGGAAATCGTGGACAGTGCTATCAAACTCCAAGCCAGGAACAACCAGCTAACCAATATACGCTTAGCCGACAAGAGCTCAGTCACCGAGCTTGATCTGCAAAACAATTCCCTTACTACCTATGATATCCCCGATCTTCTAATGGGCATGTGGAGACTTCAACGTCTGGACCTGTCCAGAAATCTCATTCACAAATATCCGGCGGCGGGAAGCGATAACTCAAGCGAGCTCTTTCTCTTGCCCAACCTTATGTTCGTAAACCTCTCAGCGAATTTTCTACAGCGTCTGCACTACGACTCTCCGTTTCCATGGACAAGGCTCACCCATCTAGACTTGTCCTACAATAGAATATTTAGCCTACCAGCGACTGCCATTAACGATGCCTTCAATCTTCAGAGCTTGCACCTAGAGGGAAATTATCTTAGTTATTTTTCACCCAATACTTTTAAGAAATCGCACCCAGCTCTTAAAGAGGTGGCACTATACGACAACAAATTCAAGCCTGAAGTGTATGAAAATATTACCAAGTTCTTAAGAGGCATTGAAGTTAACGTACTAGAGAAACCCCAACATGATTTACCAATAGAGAAAACACAAGATGATCTTTCGAAAAACTCTATTGAGAAAAACGAACCTGTTTATCCGAGCAACGAAACTTTAAAGGAAGCAATTGGAAACTTAACATTACCTTCCAAAAAGGAGCTTGAAGTTTGCTCTTTCGCAGGTTCCGTGAAGGCAGATATTGATCAAAATTGGAGTATGTGGAATATCCTGATGGCTGTCCTCCTTATAGCTTCTCTAGTCCTGAACGGTATTCTGATCGTGCAACACTACCGCTTAAGAGGAAGACACTTGATTCCCCAGGATAGCCCACTTTCATCATTGGAAACGACGTTCATCAGCGACTTTTTCCCGGATGATCCAATTCTTCATTAAAATCTGTACTTAACATGTGCAGTTAATATTTCATTCCTAAACTCAAAATACTGTTCCCTAAATCAAAGTAAAGCAGGTGATACATAAGATGGTGATAAAAGCATTTAAAACGGAATTGTACTATTTTTCTTTCGATATCTAGAGACTCGGAATGCAGTAATAAACTACCTTTTTTATTATAACAACTTATGAAAATAGCTTTTTTAGCTTGTGGCCTTTTATAAAAACCTCTATTATTTAAATGCGCGCCAATCTGTTGAACATTCTCAAGAGCTCAATGATTTGGAACTTTTTTTGTATGTATTTTCTTGGATACAACAGCTGATTAGTCTCGCATCTATTCAACAAACTAAGCATCACGGGCAAATCTTTAACCGGCTATCTATGTTATTGCCGCTTCAAGCCGTATTATTTTTTCCAAATCCTGTTTAAAAAGAAAACGCGTACAAAAATTACATCGAATTATTTTAAAGAGAAGGTATTGTAACTTGAAATCACAGTCCATGCTGATAAATACACATTGCTGTAAATTTTAGCTGGAACCCATCAACAGATCTTCAACGTATCAAAATATTTTAAAAATAGATTATGTTTATTCAATGCCTTCTTCTCGGATCTGTTATTCTTGTTGCGGGAAGCAACGATTTTTTCCCCAATCTCCAAAACGTAAATGTAAAGGATTATGAAAGGGCAGCGAGGAGCTCTAATCAACAGGTCTTTCAGTTAGGAAAGAAATTCTTTATGGAAGAAAATCATATTCCTCCAGAAAAAAAATACCAGGATTGGACCATACCTGATCATCAGCCCAGACGTATTCGCGAAATTCAAAGTGAATCCGAAAGTAACCCCCAACCTACAACCGATTCAAAATCAGATTCCCAATCTAATTGCGCGTCAGTTCCTCAACCTGAACCTAATCCCAAAGCCAAACTGCACAAGTGGTCAGTATATGACATCCTCATCGTAATCTTCCTGATTCTAGTGGTGCTATATGTTAGAATGAGCCTGTATAAAAAAGAAGGGGATAACTGCTGCTTCGGATGCAAGTGGGGTAGGACAACGAACCAAAGGCCTGATGTCAGGGTTGAAATACTTAATCAGCAAGAAACTGAAACTTAAGTTTCTGAATTCATATTCTTCTCTTTTGTTTGGCAATTAAGTTGCCAACATGATTTTTAAAGTATTATTATTGAAGTAGAAGCAAGGCAATCAAATGTGGAAGTACTTAATGTAATACTAATAAAATTAACTTAATTACTTTAAAAAATTTGCATAGTATTTTATGGGTCGCATTTTTATAATCTACTCTATGAACTTGGTCCACCCAGAACGTTATCTCAAGCAACATGTGGAGAGAGCTTTACTTTGTTGTCATCAGCAAAGCTCCCCGGGGACTTTACATCACCCACTACCCACTATCAGCAGTGGGCAACGCTCTACCCGCTGATCCAGCGAACCAGATGATAAGCAAATGATGCTGTTTTCACTGCCGATCGAATTCAGTGCATTATTTGCGGTCTGACGAAGCGCGAGCAAAGTGAAACGCATTTCGTGTAAAGAAATAATATGCATTTCGTGATATATATTTTGCTCGGGGTTTTCGGGTTTAAATTGGGCAATGCTCGTTCCGTTTACGATGCCACCGGACGCTTGAATCTCAGTGCCAGTTGTCCGGATTCCTTCTGCGAATTGAGTGATCGACCGGTGGCCTACTCAGCGACTCCGGCTGTGGGACTCCGGGAATTGCACCTGACCAACTGCAGCCGCCAATCGATCACCTGGCTGGTTCTGAATCTAACGCCCGGCCTGCGGACTCTGGTCATTCGGAACTGTGCCTCCTATCACATCAGCAAGGAGAGTCTGCGACCAGTGGGAAATCTCACCTCCTTGCAAATGCAGCGCACAAGTCTCGGAGTTCTGCGGGATGAGATCTTTTCCACGGTGCAACGGTTGGAGATCCTGGAACTAGGTCAGAACATCATCCACACAGTGCACAAAGACGCCTTCAAGGGCTTGGCCAGACTAAGATTACTGGGCCTGCAGGGCAATGGGATTCAAGAGATCCTAACCGGCACTTTTGTGCCTCTGGTGGAGCTAATCCATCTGGATTTGAGTGGCAATGAGCTTACCACTTTGCCACGCGATATCTTCGATAAGAACAGAAAGTTACAAACCCTGCTGCTAAATGGCAACCAAATGAAGACTTTACTGCCGGAAGTTCTGGGCTCCTTGCCAAATCTTCGATTGGTCGACTTGGGACATGCTGGTGAATTGGACATTCTGACGCTGGAACTCAACAATATCGGCAGTTTAATCCTGGAGGGCAGTAGTCTTACCAGTTTAGTCATCAATGGAGGCTTTATCAAACTGCAGGCGGGAAACAATGAGCTGAATCATCTGCAAGTGGGAAACAAGGGAGCTGTAATCGAATTGGATTTGCATGGCAATTTGCTGAGTGGTAACGATACGGCCAGTTTTCTGAGGGGCATGTGGAATCTGCAGAGACTGGATCTGTCGAAAAATCTCATTGAAGCACTGCCTCTGCATGGAAGTGGTTTGGATAATCCGGATTCCCAGGAGCTTTTCCTCTTGCCCAGTCTAAGGTATCTGAATTTGGCCAACAATCGATTGGTTCGCTTGCCTCCGAACTCACCAATCCTCTCTTCTCGTCTCAACCACTTGGACTTGTCCCATAATCTATTGCTTAACCTGGATGTGGAGATTCTGAGAGGACTGCCGGTTCTGGAGGCTCTGTTCGTCGAGGGAAACCGCTTGAATACCTTCGACTACCAGCTCTTCCATCAGCAGCACGAAGCTCTCAAGGAGCTGGGACTGCATGACAATGCCTGGGAACCTGGTCTATATCGCAGGATGTTTGTCTACCTCAGCGATCGAGGAGTTCACCTGGAGGCGGGCATCCAAAAGGGGAACCGGATAAACAGCAGTCAGGTGGACATCGATTGGCCGCCAACTGGTAGTCAAGCGGAGGCCCAGAGTGCGGATCTAGCGGGAGTCTCGGGCATTCATCCTTACTGGACGCTAAGGGATATCCTGACTTTCACCATCCTAGTGGTGGTAATGATCATTCTGCTGATGAATCTATACCACATCCTGGACGATGAGGGCTGTATGCGGAGGTTTCGCCATTGGAGAAGGTCGCGTAATTCTACGACCAGGAACAGTGGACGACGACTCGACGAGCAGGACTCCGAAGTATGAGCCTGGTCAACTCTTTGGCTTACTAGCTTACCCCTTCTCCGTTTCCCAAAACAGCACAGCTCCAGTGAATAGATGGGACATGTAGCCAAGCTGCTCTGCAAGCCAAATAAACGCCAATTTGATGTCAATTTAGCGCTAGTCTTTTCTCGTTTCCTAGCGTGTTGTGGCTATATCTGTTGCTACCTTACTTGGTCGAAGGTATCATCTGCTACCCTGTACTTATCATTTTGATGGATGGCTGTACTAGATAAAATTTACGAGTGTATTAAACAAATTAAAAACGCGTTATTTCCTTTAAAGGCTGTCATAACTGAAAATGGGGTTTAGATTGATTTATTTGATTTTGAAAAAGTTGTCAAAAGGAAATTAATCTTATCAATTCGATCTTATCAAAAAAATAATATACAATGACTCTCTGAAATTCTATACATTTTTATTTTAGCTGCTATATTTTTTTTTTATTTATTTAAATCACTTATTTTAAATCACCAACTTTATGTAAGGGGTACAATCTTTGCCACATCCTTCACTCAGTAAGATCTATATATTTTGAATATGAAATCTTAGCAACGAGTGGATAGAAACAATGTCAAGAACAGGGGTACACTAAAAACCTTACACAAACCTTTTAAAATATATAAGGTACAAATGTACTTGTTTGTTGAAAGAATGCAATCAAGAAAAGAAACTATAAATGTAAGATGATAAAATTAATATGTGAGATCATGAAATTTCCTATTTACTCTCCATTTCTCTCCGTGTAGAGAAGAGCACTCGGGACCAGCCGAACAAGATGCACTTACAAGATTCGAACAAAATACGAATTTAATTCAAAATAATTGCACGGCATGCACAGGAGGACATGTGGACTGCTCTTTGGCTGTGGAGCTGCTGTTGGGCCAAGACCAGTTAGGACTCTGCCTGGAAGTTGGCCAAAAGAAGGGGGGAAGTGGGAGGGGTGGGGGAGGAATAGGCAGACCTGGTTGAACATCGACTTTTCCGCCTTCGTTGCTGGCACTTCATGGCATGTTTCCTTCGGGGCCGTGGATTTGTGGCGTTTGCATTTGCGTAGACCTTGCCACAAGCCTTCAAACACATAGTATATGCAGGCATTATAAGCAAGACTTGCCCCGCCCCCCCCGAGGAAACAGGGGTACCTACATATCAACATGTTTTGGGTGGAAATTTTGCCCGTGTTTATGTTTGGGGGTCCTCTCCTCGCTGGATTTTGATAGGGCATCGCAATTTCTGAGAAATTGTATTTTGATTTATTTATAATGTTGCAGCGACATGCACATGCATCGTTGTTGCTGTTGTTGTTACTGTTATTGTTGCATTTTCAATTGTTGTTACTGTATATGGCCTGTTGTCGTTGTTGTTGTTATTATACTGGGCATGCGAATCAAATCATTTTGATTAAATTAGAAATATGCAAATTATGTGCAGCTCATTAATTATGCGCCACCATATGATTTGGTCAAGTGATAAGACAGGCCAAGTGAAGAAGACAGAGAGAGGGGGAGAGAGAGGCCAAGTGAAGAAGACAGAGAGAGGGGGAGAGAGAGACAGGGAGTTGGGGCCAGACAGAGACAGGGGGATGGGGGAGGAAAGAGGCATCGATCGATTGAGTGCGAGCGAAAACGCATCACAAATCGCCCGCAAAACGCGCGCAAATCGCTTGGCAATTAAATAACTTCACACCGCGCGCTAAGTGGGCGTGGCCGGGGACGCCCACACACGCCCAAAAATTTCGCATTTGAAATGTAAAGCGCACGCGGCTTTTCTGTGAAAAATATTTCAACGATTTGTAAAAAATCGAAAGGCAATAAATGCATTTTTATCCCTCAATTCTCTGGTTTTAAAAGGGGTGTGAACAAGGGTATATTGGGATTATGGGATTCTGGCCTCATCGAGATAGCAAAAGTACAAGCAAAAAGGGTTACAGTACGAGCAATAAATATTCACAGCTGTGGAAATTAATCACATTGTTACAAATTACGGTGATAATAGCTGCTAATGACTTTGAGGTCAATTGATTTTTATTAATCAAAGATATTTTAAGACCATAGATATATTTCACCCTGGAAAATGTTTCCCAAAAATTTCTTTTCAGAATGGTGACCCAGACTTTCGCAATTTTATTTTGGAGGGTCATATCTCTTAAGATCTTTGTTTAGCACTCTGCCAATCTGCAATAAAATATTGCTCCTTTCCTAAACATTTAAATTTTAAGAACAATTTCCAACTCCAACTTATGTATGATGAACTAAAAATATTGTATGGTGACCCCGATCATTTGCGGTACCAACTATTCGATTTTACTCCGAAGTGGTAAACCCACTGATTGCAATTGCCACAAAACATAACGCGAGGGACCTCTGGAAAAGGCATTGCAAACCGATTCGGAATCGAACCGAAACCAAACCAATCCTGACCACAACAATTTACCAATCGTTCACGCGTCCCAGGGGCCGCCAGATTCTCCCTGCCATTGCGTGTATATCTCCGCACCGCACCGCCCCCGACCCACCACGCCCCCCGGCGACCACCCCCTATCGATGTGCATTCGGTTTTCTCCCCACTTCTTTTTTCGCCTTTTTTTTGGGGTGGGCGTTGCCGCGGAGGCTGTGCAAAGTGTAAATTTATGATCATGCGATTTTTATCGAATGTGAATGTGAAAAAGAGTACAACGTTTTTTGCACTTTATAAACAACAGCAGCTAAAGGGGAAAAAAAGAGAAGGCCCAAAGTGGACTGGGCCGTCGGCCGAACGCATTATTATTAATACTCGCACGCCGTCTGTCATGTTTTGTATTTAGTCAATTTTTATGTGTGGTTTTATTGAGCGTTTTTTAGCACTTTATGCTGCCAAACAGCGGCCACACCCCCTCCGCCCTCCGCCCCGCGTTCTGATTTCGGGCTTAGAGCCAGGTTATGGGTTACGAATTTACGGGCCATGGTCTGCAAAATGGATTGGATTGGATTGGGCTGGCTGTTCTTCCTCTACGCCAAAGCTAAAGCCGAAACCGAAACCGATGCCGATGCCGATCCATAAATCATGCGCCTTTTGGGGGTCGGCGTTTATCAAATTTTCGCACACTTGGCTCTCGACTGCGCCTGGCTGGAAAATGAGATTTTCCAAAAACCAAACGTCTTTCGGCGGCGACACGCCCAAAGACAAAAGTGCAGGGAAAATCTCCAGATGCTACCCCCAAGCGTTTCCCAACCTTTTAAGACCGGCACGACAATGACACTACGACCTGGCAGTCAGTCTGTCATCCAGTCAACCAGTCATTCAGCCAACCAGTCAGTCACTCAGTTAGTCATTCATTGGCTCACACGTGGCTAACTAGGGGGTGTGGGACTGGGACTGGGGCTGGATCGGCGTTAATGCGATTATTTTGTGCACTTTTGGCAGAGTTAATAAAAATTACTTCCAAACCAGTGAATGGCATACGTCGTGGAGCACTAAAGACACTTTAATGGCGATAGACAATGACAAACCCAAACCCGAAACCCAGTCGAAAATGAAACCAAAGCAATAATTTTTCATTTTTCCCCCATCAACAGCGAAATGCGGCACTGAGAAAAGCTTATAACAAGAATGCAGTTTTAAATAGGTCGAATTATTTATTCAAATACGAAGATATATTTTTACTTGTAGGGCTAGTACTCAACCCAATAAAAAGTCGTCTAAAACAAAAAACTTCATATGAAAAAAAATTTCTTGACTTTTTGTTTTGGACGACTTTTTTACTAGCCCTTAAAAAAAAAAATAAACATTCAAAAATAATATTATAAAAAGTTTTCTGGGTTGAATGGAAAATGAATAATATAACATTGGAACAAAAAAGGCTCTCAGAAGTATTTGTAAAATATATCTAAATTAATTTTTAAGAACCTTACTAAACTAAGGTAATGGTAGAATAATGATTAACCTTTTTTATTCAATTTAGGAAATATTTGATATATCAAATTATAACTATAGTTTTATACAGAAGTTTGCACAGGTATCTCTTAATAATAGTAACTTGTAGCAATAGATCCCTTGAAATAACATTATATAGTAAAATTTCAGTTTCAGTTGCCAAATTTGTACAAGATCATAAATCAATCTTATAATTCCATTTGGTTTCACAGCATTTCCCGCGGTGTACGCTTTCATATTTCACACCATGCTTAGGCGCGAATTTGTAGCACTAATCCGGGAAACTCTCGCTGGAGCGCAGTTCCTTCGGTGGCTCATTAACAAGGACCCTGCCCACCCCACCCCCTCCCCCAACAAAATCAGGATCAGAAGCTGGCTGCGTGATGCCGTTAATCGCATTATTTACAGCAAACAGGATCAGCGGGTTGACTCCGCTCGAAAGTCAAACGGCGCAAAACCCTCCCACGGGGATATCCGTGACATATGTAAAGTGTAAGCTCGCCCAAGGACCAAGGACGAAGGACTCCGGGCAAGGACGAGAGGGTGCTAAAGCGTCCAAAGCGGTAACGCGTGCCGGCGTGCGGTTCGTGTAATGAATATCCGCTTAGCCCTCAGTTAGCCTCGGCCGCTGCTCCTTGGATGCTGCAATTGTATCTGGATTTGGAGTTCGAGTTGGCTTCGGGTGGTGGAAAATGCAGTTTAAAGGCGAGTTCTGGGTGGTTCTGCCACCGGTAGTGGTGGTGGGTGTGGCCGTTGTGACGGGCGTGTGCGTATGGGAAATTGCCTAACTGACTGCCACAATATGCCCATCCGAGCAGTTTTCCTGCCTTGACAGCCCATCGCCCAGAAGGGGAGTCGCTTTATAAATGAGCAATCAATTCATAGACGGATGGATGGGACAGTGTGAGAAATCAGAGCATAAAAAAAAGGGAGAAAGGTCTCTAAAATAAGATTTATTTGAGATTTTTATTTCAAAAAGACTCATATAATTTTTAAACATTTTTGAAAATTAAAAAAATTTGAAACCAAGTAAAGAAAAAATCCAAGTAGTAATTTTTCGGTCGTCCCTGTTACAAACATTTTCTTCCTTAAAAATAATTATTAATGTCCATATTTCAATTTAAATTAAACTATAACTATTTTTCCTTTTAATATAATACTCAACATCTATTACCTTATCTATATACGACTTTTGGGATTT